TGTCATGCAGTTGATAAAGTAGCACACAGTAAACCGAAAGTTCAAATTTTATTAGCAAGTTGCTTACATCTAATTAGCCATTTGTGGATAGTCTTAGCTAACGAAGTTTGCTAAAATATTAGCTAACAACTGATTATTAGCTTAGCACTCCGTGCTTTCTTTCAGATAAGGTAATAAATGGTGGGAGGTGTAAAAGATTAGGCTCCTTTTTGATAAGGTTTACAGTTAAGGCTGCCTGCCCACTTTTTAAGAGCTTCATTTTATCCACTGACGCTTTGGAAAATCATTACTCAAAGAGTTATCAGACTCGAACCAAGCCAATAAGCTACTAAGTGAATATGACCATTAAAAGATTTGATTTGGATAAAAAATAAATAAATAAAAGAAAATGAAAAGACTGTGCAACTTCAATACATTTGGCAGTGAATGAACTAATCATGCCAAAATGCACACCAAATACCAGCTTCCAAAGGGACTAACTTCAAGCCTTCACGAATGCAGTTGTTTTAATCTAAAATATTGTATACTACTACTACTACTACTACGTCTAATAATAATAATAGTTTTGTATATATGTATATATTTTTTGTGTTGTGTGTGTAGTAAAGTATTTAGTACCCTAGTTAATATAATTAATATAATATATTTTTTGTGTTGTGTGTGTAGTAAAGTATTTAGTACCCTAGTTACTGATATGGTGCTCCTAACTGCATCCACCGCTCTCACTTTCTACGATTTTGCGCTCTCTGAAGTTTAAACATTTCCATGATAACAGTAACCTCCACCAATCAAAGAGATCTCTGTTTCAGCTGAGGATTGTGGGTAGAGTTCTTTTCCACAGCACTGCAAATTAAACACTTTTTTTTTATATTAATAACACAAAGTTGATATCCATACAGACTCAAGGTTTCCACAGCAACACATAGCAGCATGCCACAATGTTGCACTTAGTAACAGTGGATAGCTGAATGGTTACAAAATGACTCCAAATCAAAATCCCAGTGGGGAAAATGAAGGGGATTTTCACTTCTGGAAACTCACTTTTCTACTTTCTTCTTTACTCGACTATATTCTACATATTGCTGAATAGTTTATGTTTTGTCCTTGTCCTCCACTATGCTCTCCTGTCGTGGCCTTGAGGCTGGTTCTACTAGAGGTTTCTTTTTGTTAAAAAGGAGTTCACTGTCACCAAGTGCTTATTAACATGGGATCATCAGATTGTTTGGGTTTTCTGTCTAATATCTGAGTTATGTACCTTACAATGTAAAGTGCTTTCAGGCAGTTGTTAATCTGAGATTGCTCTGTATAAACAAAACTGACCTGAATGTGCAAACCAGTGGGTGACAAAGAGTGGCTATATCCATCTTTTATATACAGTCTGTTTTGTTGCACAAAGTTTCAGATAATTTCATTTGTACAAAACTTTCTGTGATGATTTTTTGCTTATGAAGTTTGGCAATTTGGCAGTCCATTCCCAGAATCTTTTCTTCCCTACATATTCACTCCATTTTATTCTCTTACGCTCTCTCTCTGGATGGTACATTTGGCTCTTTAATTTAAAGCCCAAACTACCTTCAGGGAGATGCACAGCATAATGAGGAGGAATGAGTTGGGCTGCAGCCTTTCTGCGTACTCTCTTGCCCTAACTCTGTATTCTTTATCAAACGCTCCCAATGGTTGTCCTGGCCCAGTGAAAAACTGTCTTGCCGCTTTTGTTAGCTTATAGTGCCTCTATTTTCCACCCAGACTCTTTTGGAAACTTGTATTGATATTCACTGCACACGCTCACGCTCACATTGCCTTTCATTGCTTCTGCTGTCTTTTTGCAGTGCATCGTTCTCTGTACTGTTTTCTCTCCCAACCTGACATCTTTCATTTAGTGAATAAATTTTTGGTCACATTAGATTCCCAATATATTGAGGTTAAAAAAATGTCAGTAATTAGTTGTGTACACATCTGAAACATCCCCAAAAACTTCCCAGTGAACTCCTGCCTACTAATCTATCTTCAAATCTCTCTTGTGACCTTCTTCTCAGCCACATTTCCTCATCTTATCTGTTGGCTTCGTCTTTCCATACCACTCTTTTCTCCTCTGTATAGGTTGTTGATTTTAATGATACGTTGTTTTGAAATTTGCACTGAAGCTTGTTCATTGTGAGCTGAAGTGGCTGATAATTGTGCTTAATGATGCTTTTTGTATCCAGGCAACGAGGCACGCTCAGTTCTTTTTTTCAAGCTAATCTACTTTAAGAGGGCAGGCCATGCAGTCCTTCTGACTCTGGAGGTGAGCCATACACATGCACACACACACATGCACACACCCGCCTACATATAATAAATACCAGTAGCTATTTTCCTTAGGAATTGCTGCAAATGTAGTACAGAGAACACAGAGGACTAATTGGGAAAATGAGCTATCTTTATACAGGAAAATTATATGAATTTTAAAAGTGGCTTGGCTTTCATGTATTGGAACATGAGTTGTTTATTCCTGCCTTCAGTGAGTCAGCAATCTCACATCATGTGCTTCTGTTAACAAATTCATGGTTTTTCTTCTATCTGTCAGGTAGAAACCCAAGTCTTTGACTTTATGTATCAATTCTGTTGCAAAAGTTTTCTTTGTTGATCCTTAACCGCATCCGGCAGTGATGTAGTGCACAAGTGTACTACATCCAGAAGCCAGAAGGCTGTCAGCAAAAATATTTACACTGTGTTAAGTTAAAATTTTAAGTGGCCTTCGTCTTATCTCTTGTTTTTCTCTGGTTGTGCTGGATCTGGGTTTTGTATAATGTATAATGTTTTGCTGCAATCAGGCCTTGCTCACTATTCATTCTGCTGACTTTGGACAGATCGTTGGTTATTTGCCCTTGAGCCTCCCTATACCTCCTTTCTCTGACAGAGAGGATAAAACGCTGGCTGCCTAAGATGGACTTAATTTCTTTTGCCTGTTTTAATGTGTGCGCTTTATTCCCATCTTTTTATGTGTGTCCCACAGAGTTGTCTTCTCAAAAAATGATGTATCTGCTCAGTAATTCATGATTTTTATTAAGATTGCTCATAAACATGGATATCAGATATGCAAGCCCATGCTTAATACCTTGTGAAAATCCTTACATCCTTACAAATAAACAGGATTTATTTTCTAGGTGTAAGGTCGGCGACATAATTAAAAGCTTTGTGATCTTAAATACTGCAATTGTTGCTCAGAGAGACTCTTTTTTAATAGACACAATATAACATTTTTTTCTATCCATGCTGTCAATGTCTTCCTATTCTTGCCACATCTCAGATTCACTGAAGTGTGATCTGGACTGCTCTCACACCTCCCTCTGAGCAGAAGCTGCTTTTTTAAAGCCAGAATGGCCCCTCTGTTGGACAGCCTCTCCAACAGAGAATGAACACCACTGCTGGTAGCTGCTCCTCTGAGAGGAAATAGGATGAGTGAGGGCCGTACCTTGAGGCTGGACATCAGCAAACTTTACTTGACGTGACTTACATCTCTGTCCTTTAATACTTTTCTCCCAGTTTTACTCCCAGTCAGGGTTGCACAGAGTTCAGCACTGTGAGACTATTCTGCCTTTTAGTCCTCTTATTCTCATGTTTCCTCTTGAGTCTAGCAGCCTGGAGCTCATCAGTGGGTTCTTACTGAAGTGCTCTCTTTTTTTTTTTTTGCTCTCTGATATGACTTGTGTCTGATTAAGTATTTCAGCTTTTTATTCCTATAGCAGCATTGGTTTCTGGGCTTTGTCATGAACTTGAAATATGTTCTGTATAGACACGGCTCTCTGCTGCACACTTCAGCAAATTTCTCTGCGTATCTTCACTGTTGCTTTCTTAGACTTTATATGTATATATATATATATTTTTGCCACTGGTCTATCTCTATAGACAGTGAGCCTCGATTCCCAAGGCTCTCTCTTTTTCCTGATCAAACTCCTTCTCTTTGATCTGCACAATTTCTTGAGGTCTCTCCTCAAACAACCTCATCCTCTGCTACTGGAGTATGTTCAGCCAAACTCCTTCTGAGACACTGTGCCGCGTAGCTTCCCGTGCTCCACTTTCTCAATCTGTTCTTCACCCAACACCCTCCTAATTTTCTCATCATCTCTGTGTAATCTTCTTCACGGTCACCATTCAGCTCATGCCTCTGCCCATTCGTCCCCATCAACCCTCTTGTCCTATTTTGCATGTTTTCATTTCTTAGTGCGTATCGTCTTTTTTTTTTCTTCTATGCTTGTTGATATTGCTGGACAGTGCACGTCTTTGCAGTTTTATACCCGATGTGTCGATAAAATCATAGAACAAAGCAAATCTTACTGTGCTTTCTTGTAAGCCTTGTATGAGTCTAATATTAATTACTTGATTAATAAATGTTCAGTCTTTACGCAAGTCTTTTTTTTTTCACATTCAGCACCATTCATGCTCATTCAGGGCCAAACAGAGACAGCCTTGGAGCCTCTCTGCAACTTTTTATTAAACCTTGTGATGTCCGAGAAAGAAAATAGGCCCGGCCATTGCTGGAATTTTAACAATCCATGCATGCGGCTTATGCAAATATTTACTAAAACTGAAAGTTCCCACTGAGATGGATTCTCGTGTTTGTTTAGTTCTGGTACTAGCCCTTCACTTCATGAATAATGGACAACATCCATGTGTTTCAAAATGTCATGGCATTTGGACCATATTCTTTTGTGGAAGTGTGTGCATGTGTGTTGATGCGCACATACTTTTTTATGCACGAAAAAGCAGACAAGAGGAGCCAAAAAAAACCCCTAGAAATCCTGGGGATATACATTGTATTGGATGCATGCAACACTTGTACATGTATACTTCTATAGTCCAAATAGCAGATTACCGGGAGATAAAAGTAACCTGGATTTCAGCCATGCTACATATCTTATATTCAAAGCCAGATCAGCTGAAAGCAGACCCAAGCCTCACCACATGAATTCCAATTTGCTTCTGCAGTTGCAAATACCACAGATAACACACAAAGGTTCAGAGATATGCAGGAATGATGAAAGTATGAAGAAAGAGATGTTACAATATTCACCAGAAGCTGTAAACCGTTTCTCCGCTCTTCTTGTTTAGCATGACAACAAACATCATCTCTAGTTTTTTGTGCACTTAACCAAAGCATTAAAAAAATGTGCACAAATATAAACATAACTGAAGAGGCTCCAGATTTAGAAAAAGGAGGAGTTGAACTGACTGCAAAACCGCTAAAGAGCAAACTGCAGTTTCTATTCTGCGCTTTTTACATTTCAATAGCAAAATCTCGAAGCGCACCTGACTGCACTCAAAGCTTTACCGGGGGTCGTGCCCCGGTGTTCAAGCTGCTATCTGATTCTCTCAGATATTCAGGGCATGAAAGTGCTGGTTTCAAAAGGCCAAATTGGAGTGAGATCTCAAAGGTGCTGCGAAGGGTTTAATCTAACTGACAATAAGGTAGCATGAGTTAACCCACGAGCAGACAGGAACAGTGATCATCATGAATAGGAAACACTGGACGATTTTTTGGTCAGTGGCCAGTGTGGATAATGAGCTCCTTGCTTTGATGTTTCACTGTGTGTATGTGTGTGTGTCTGTTAGTTCATCCCTGTGGTAAACTGTATTTTTACACCTCATTCTCATATCTGTTAATTACTCCTGATATTTCTGAGCGCCGTGGCATAAAACCCGATGCTGAGTTAGTCTGCCTCTGCAGCTCATTTACTCTCTGATTATTGTGATGAGCTGAGTGACTCATACATCAGTTCAAATGCAAACAAACCCCGCTCTTGTCAGGTTTGCTCTGAAAGGACGCTTTCCACACCCTCTTGGGGGGAACAATTGCCCCACTCATCGCTTGTCACGCTTTTCCTCCTTTTCCCAACTGTCACACAGGAAGCCCGCTCACCTTCCAAGTTGGTGACTAAAATGAATTCTTCCCGCCATGCATGCGTACATCTCGCACACTTTTCCTTTTAAATCTCTCTGACTTTGACAGAAAGGCTGCCGGTGACAGCAGCTTCACCGCAGCTCTGCGGGTGTTGATAAACCATAAATAAAGTTGTCTGTGAATGAAGAGATGAGTTCAAGCTGAATAATCTCTCTGTGTTTAGCAGGATCCTTCCTTATAGATCTCATCAACAGATTCCCTGCTCTGTCTGGTTCATTATAATAATTTGGAAAAATGTTGTAAAATAAAACAAAGTAGCCTGAAGCATCAGCAGCATGCATGCAGTTGCTGAGAAAAGAAAGAGGAATAGATACAGACCTTTATTTTTCTTATGCGAAGCAGCTGCTCCTCTCTCACGTTGTGCAAAAATCCATCTCTTGTTTGGTCTTTCAGCCGAGCAAACCAGATCTGTTGCCCCTCAGAGCTTCCCCGTGAGCCTCTCCTCTCTCTTGCTCTCTCTCTTGCTCTCTCTCTCTCTCTCTCTCTCTCTTGCTCTCTCTCTTGCTCTCTCTCTCTCTCTCTCTCTCTGTCTCTCTCTCTGTCATTCAGTGTGAAACACGGCCATACAGGCTCGACAGCCTGAGACGAAGCAGTCACATATGGGTCCCTTCTAGAAATGGAGTAACACATATAAAAGGCCTACAACAAAAACAAAAACACTTCCTTTCCCTGAGAAGTGGCAAAGATGGGCAGAAGAGAGGAAATTTTAATTCCATCCTCACCTCTCTCCTTCTTCCACTTCTCCGTCTCCACCCTCCCACTTTTCTCTTTGCTTGCTCATCAGCTTCAATAACGATCACACCAACGGTCTGACACATTCACAGAGCAGAGCCGCCTGACACTTAATAAGCTGCTCGTGAAGCCTGTTAACGGCACACCACAAGTTGTCAGACAGACACGCAGGTAAATGAAATGACAGTTTTAGCCATTTTAATACATTTCTGTCATTGTGTGCTCAAACACACAATTGAGCCGCCTTTGTTTTGTTCTGTTTGTATGAGGGACACACGGCCCGGTTCTGTGCTCTCAGCTAAACTGTGTCAGTAGACAGCATCCAGTGGTGAGTAATAACCGGCTGCTGTTGTGGAGAGGCAGACCGAGCTGTTTAAATGAGACCCCAGACCTGCGGATGAATGAACAACAAAAAAAAAAAAAAGTGGGGGGGGAGGCCCAAGTGGAAAGTCGTAGCATTCAACATCTCTTTGTCACCTCTCTTCATCTTAAAGCTCTTATCTTGTGTTTTCACTCCCGTCTCTCTTCTCTCTTTTTTCTCCCTCACCTCCTCAAAGCAGTTAGCAGTTCTGTTCTGTTGAAAAGTCTTTTTATGTGAACTGAGTATGGACACATGCCGCAAATTACACATGAAACAAGGTGCCTTTTTAAAAAAGGCTTCCCATAACTTGTAACTTGCTGTATTTCATCGAGTGATGAAACAGAGGATCGTATTCTAACCAAACTATGTCGATTTATAAGCAGGAGAAACGCTCTGCCAGTAGTGTCAACCACTCTGGATTTATTGGGACAGGCTTTGAAATATGTGTCTGCAGCTTGACAGCAGAGATTTAAAGCAGACTGGTGGCTGTTACAATTTCCGTCTCTGTCCCTGCTCTAGGCCACTCTCGCTCTCTTAATAGGTCCCTGCATTCCTTTGGAACTTTGTAGATTTGCCCTGCCAGCCGCGATCATATGACTGCACACCTACCAACATCCCAACTATCTTTCTGTCTGCTGCTTACAACAGACCAGCTTCTTTTACTCCTGGCTGCCTGTCATTTTCTTAACCTGCTTGTTCCTCACAGTAGCCTCTGCCTATCTGCTTGCCCAGAAGCCTCGGCCGTTTTTCATCGCCTGCTCTCCATCTGTGGCCTTCAACCTGTGCTGCACATGGTTTTTGAGACTAAGGCACAGCTGTGATTTGACTAGATTGATATGCTAATTTCAGCGTGCTAAAACCTTTTAAGAAAATTATACCAGTGTGTTAATTTTAACTTGATAAAATTCTTATTGTGTGCACCATGCCTGTTTGATCATGTCATTAAATGAAGGGTCCAGTAACCTCAGGTGCTGCTGGAACTGAAATATTTCACTAAAAAGGGAAAGGCTAAAAGCCTCTAGAGGAAATTCATTCTTTACATGTCTCTATCAAAGATTTCAACCCATTAATTATAATTATTTAATGTGTTTATAATTATTTCAAATTCTTACCACACTTTGAAATGCCCCGCCCCCTACTTTACCTGACTTTTCAAAAATGATTTATTTTATCTGGATGAACTGACGTTTAAATTGCTTTGCTTAGCACTAGATATGTCCTCTTTTGGTGCAAAGCACTCCAAATAAAATCCAGTCTCATCTGACTTAGCATAAATTATGCTTGTTAGCACCTTAATGGTATTCATGAGGTGTTAATTGTGTGGCAGATGTCACCTGTCTCTGCTCTGTGAAGGGAAAAAAGGCACCTCCTCCTCCACAGATGCCTCTATCTCCTGCCATCTGCTCGCTGACATGCGCACCAGAGAGGAATAGCAGCAAAGAAGAACACAGGGCAGAGATGAGATGACTTTATTTAACATCCAAATCTAGCATCGGCAAACATCACAGCTGGTATTCAGGTGTACGCACTCTGACAGCTATGCTAGAAAAAGGGCTTTGATTTATTGGATCTGCACAAATATATATATGAATATATTTTGATTGGCAACCCAATAAGAAGTGGGTTTTGCATTTCATTTAACTACTCTAATAATTATTTGGCCTGATCTCACACCATAGAAGACTATTTCTAAACCTATCAAAGTGAATCACTGCAGACACAGAACTTTTTTTCTAAATAGGGAATATGCTTGGCAAAGCTAATTAAGGCAATGGGAATACATGCACCCTCACTCTGTGCAAACTCAAATGTTCTTGTGTGCGTTTGTGTTTTGTGTGTGTGTGTGTGTGTGTGTGTAAGAGCAAGAAAGAGGACTGAAGGATAGAGATAAGAGTTTCGGCCTCAGCTGGCTTTTGTCACTAATCCCAGAAGGCGAAGAAGTAGCTGCCGATTCCATGTCATTCCCTGATTTCCCAGCCTGTTCTCAGTCCATGCCATCCTAGAGCTGCCCTTGTAAGGACACCAGTCTCTGCACTGCATGTTAATGAGAAGAAACATGCAGCAGTCGGGGTACAGCTGCAAAGGAAATCTCTGTTTGCTAAAACCCGTGTGAACACAACTATGAACTCCGAGATAAACGGCAGGAAAGTGTCACAATATTAGTTACGGATTATGTTCCAAGATGCGTACATTTTAGATGCGCCGCAAGATATGATTTACATCCCTCTGGTAATTTGAACCAATTTGCCGAGCATCCCGCTGAGAGGGAGGCTCATAAAAAGCTAAATTTCACTCTGTGATGAGCACAGGAAAACTGCTTCATATCCTCTCCTGACTGCAGGAGAAAGTATTGCTGCGTCTTTAATCACGGGGAGGCAGCGTGCCTTTGTCTCCAAGATGTAGGAAATTATTAGTGACATTTGAAAGATTCTGAAACCAATAAATATGCAGCACACTGCCGCTTTTCGTCTCATGGCGGTGGCGTGCCAATCAGAGTGATCTTCAGAGATCTGAGAGCGTGGAGCAGAACGAACATACTGAGGCGTATCAGTGACACACCCACATGTCCACGCACACACACACAGAGGACAGAAGCCTGATAGGCGAGCACCTGTCCAGAATAACAATGAGAGATAGCAATGTGATACTGGGGCTGTCTCAAACCACCCCCTAGTAGTGCAGACAGCTCGACCACAAGAGCACAAGCGTAAGCTCAAAAGTCCGACAGCCGACCGAGGCACGATCCTACTCCAAACTTCACCATTAATAGCACTTTGCAATTTTTTTGCGCTCTCCTTCTGCAGGGCACACTCTAAATTCATGAAAGAGGAGAAGAAAGAAAAACATCCTCAAAGTCAGATTCATTTGAATATATGAATAATTTACTGCACCAAAAGATTTGAGGCCCTTAAATTGCAAATAAAAAAAAAATAGAAGCCCTTAGTCTCTTACTCAGACATCCATAATTCATATGTCCCACAGCTCTGACTGGGAGATATTTGATGTACGAGCAGTCCGCAGAAGGTACTGGGGATACAAGGACAAAACGCGGCACTTTGTCTTTCAGCGTGATTACTGAGTCGTTTTGTCTTTGCTGTGAATATCAAGTGGTTGACTTTGTTTTCTGTTCTGATCTCTCCTCCTTCATGTTTTCCTCTCCTTTTTTTTAATTAATGAAAAGGAAAAAAAAAAGAAAAAAGCGGTAAACAAACTTTTTGTCAAAGGTTTGTTATTGTGGCGTGCCGTGATATAAAGTATAGCCCTGGGGTTATAAACTGAACAGCCTGTGTTTGTGTGTGTGTGTGTGTGTTATACGGCATCCTGATTTAAGCAACATAATTATCCTGCCATTATAAGAAACAGACAATAGCACACCCCTGCTCTCTGTGCTAATTTTCCTTTCATGCCTCTGGCTTACTGCAGTGATGGACCTCTTAATGAATCAGACTGGCACCAAGCTTCCGCATCATATCCCTGATTAAAAAGTCCTTAAATCTACATGACAGCTTATAAGTAAACAATAAATCGAGTGGGTGGACGGTGGGAAACAATATGACCTTTAGCTAAGAGACAAGGGAGGAAGATTGTAGTCATCATATTTAATGTAGGTTGTTGGCATCTCCTGCGAGCGCTTAGACTCCGTCCTGCAGTTTTCTTCAGTTTGGCACAGATGATTTGTCCTCTTTGGAGTTCTCTGATTTGAAAATGTGCTTATTAAAGCACTGATTGCCTTCTTTAAGAGCCAGTCACTGCTGCTGATCAGTTTTCAACCCCACACGAGGCCTGTGTTGGCAGCAACTAACAAAGCAATGCCAGAGTTGCCAAAGACCTCTTCTGTGTGGTGTTTGCGTGCACAGACAGGCTGCAGAGACAACGCCATACAATGGGCTTGTGGGAATAGGGATTGGGATAAGCTTAATCAGGCTGAGCTGCCAGTGTAGGTTAGCTACATAATATTTCCTCTTCTTTGAGCAGCTGTGGCATGAAAATGACAAAAGGTAAAAGGCAACAGTAAGAAGATATATCTGACTACATTCCAGTTTGCCATCTTCTAAATGTGCCATCACTGGGGTGATTCACTGGACTCTGATGATACATTCATGACCAATTAAATCTTTTTTCTTCTTGCAAAAACCAGTGAATTGGAAAATATCTGTCCAGCAAGGATAATCCTCAGCAGATTGGGGATGCCTTTTCATCTCCTTATCCTTCAAGTTAGTGGCAACTTTCATCATCCTTGCTTCTATTTTTGAACTTTTCTGTGCTCAGGATGGGAGACAGTCTCAGCTCTGGTCCCTCCCAGCACTGTAACAGCCCTGGACCAAAGGCCTCCTTGAGATATGAAACTTGTCCTGAGCTTGGTGTCTCCTGGACTGTCCTG